TAGGTAGCAAGTCTGCTCTGTTCATAAAAACCACACTGGGAGTATTTCTACTTCCCAAAGGGGTGAAGTTGAACATGTAATACTAGTACTACTTTATCTTTCGCCCCGGTCATTGCAATAGCGCAGTGTGGATAATTTTAAGTGCAGGGCATTTGGTGAAAGTGTCTTCTCCTGTCTTCCCTGCACCCCTTCTCGCAGAGAGGAGCGGTTTGCGTTTGGCCATCACTATTTCCGTCCGCACGAAACGCATCACTCCCCTTCTCGCAAGTTTTATCACAACGAGCTCTTCCGGGTGCCGCTCTACGAAATTATCCCCTTGGAGGCCGTGGTGGGAACGTGCTGTGTTCTGGACCTCTACACCTACTGCAAAGGTAAGTAAACTTCACGAGGTGAGAAATTCCATGAAACACTTCTTTCCGATAGTTTTGGGGGTGTGCTAGAGAGGGTGCTCCTGCAAGAAGGCAGCAGCTGGTGTTTATCATCTTTTTTCAACATTTTTTGCCTTGAAACTGCAGGGAGGCCGAAAGGGGTGAAGGAGCAGGACGTGTACATCTGTGATTACCGCCTTGATAAATCAGCTCATCTCTTCTACAAGATCCACCGGAATCGCTATCCTGTCTGCACCAAGCCCTACGCCTTTGACCACTTCCCTAAGAAACTCACGCCCAAGAGAGACTTTTCAGTAAGTATTTCATCTAGGAGCTTCCTTATTTCATCCTGGGAGGCTTGGACATATTCTTGGAAGGTCTCAGGCTCTTTCTTTCTCAGTGAAGCTTGGTAAATCTAAACAAGCTGACATGTAAGCATCCACAGACTGCCTGAAAAGTTGGCTAGAAAGAAAACGTGGAAATTGGGTATAGACAGAGAATAGGCGGTTCTGAAGCAAACAGATGCTGAACAAATGAAACAGACGTTGACGAGATGGTGATGGGCAAGTCTGGAGATTGTGGCTGCTGGCAGGGATCTAAATGCTCAGTTAAGTTATTCTGCACAGGAGGAAACCTCGTAATGTAGAATTTAGGTAGCAATTCCACATAAAAAAACAAAAATTCTGCATCAAAAACAGGAGTGCCTTCCCACATTGGGAAGACAAAGATGACTTCTATCATGGTAGCTTTAAGTTTATCAAGGCCAGTGTGTGAACGTGCTAGCTGTGCACTGCTGTTCCCAAAGTATTAGCTGAGTCACATATTGCTACTTACAGGATATCATAGGCCACTTTGTTCTGCCATGAATTGTGTTTGATATTAACCCTAAAATCTTTATTGTTGTTATAGCCCCATTACGTACCAGACAACTACAAGAGAAATGGAGGCAGGTGAGTCTTGCGTGCCAAACCGTTGGCAAGAGATGAGATAATCCTCTTTGCTCAGTGTCCACTGTTCCCTGCCCATCTACCCTAGGTACCATAGGAATTATAAATCCAAGCTACTTAGAGCAATCCTCTGAACTTTTAAAGAAATTAAAAGGAATGAGAAAGAATGAGAAAG